TCCTCTCGAAGTGCTTCTAGAGTCTGAGGAGGACGTTGCAAATTGAGCAATCTCCTACCCATCATATCCCACACGTGCTCAATTGGGGATAAGTCGGGAGATCTTGGTGGCCATGGTAACAATGTGACATCATTATGTTGAAAGAAGTCTATTGTGACTCTTGCAACATGTGGTCGGGCATTACCTTGTTGGAAAGTTGAATCTGCCACTTCGTGGATATAACGCTGCGGGTTCATGTTACCTCTGATGAAGATTAAAGGTGACCTGGAACCATAAGCTATAGCACCCCAAACCATAACTCCAACAGTGTGATGAACATGTCTTTCAACAAAAAACTGTGGATTCCTCCTTTCACCACGTCGCCTTCTAACCCTGGCACGACCATCGTGCATGCCTAAACAAAATCGAGACTCGTCACTAAAGACAATACTGTTCCATTCCTGATCCCAGAGTGACCGTTGTCTGCACCACTCAAAGCGATTACGTCGGTGTTCTCGAGTTGAAGGGAGGACCCAGTGTGGCCGGTATGAAAACAAGCCAAAACTTCTCATTCGTCGGTAAACACTTCGCATGCCAATAGGTCTTCCGTGTTCTGCAAACCATTCATTTGCAATGGACCTGGTAGTGGAGAAACGGTCCCTTAAGGCCAATAATCTTAGGCGGCGATCTTCACGGTCTGCTGTTCTACGGCGGCGTCCAGTGCCCCTTGCTCTTTGCGTACGGCCTTCTCGAAGCCATGCCTGACAACACCTGACCACAGTGTCTACACTTCTTTGCACTCTAACTGCAATTGCCCGAAAAGAAAGTCCAGATTCCCGAAGTCCCACTATACGGCCCCTATCAAACTCACTAAGTTGACGAAATCGTACAGGTCTCCGTACTCTAGGCATCGTAACCGATCGTAAAGGATGTCAAGAACCAAAATCCGCCAACGTTGATTCTTTACTGCGGCTGAAATATTCATTTTTAGAGCGTTAGTGAATGAAAAAAAAGCAGTATAAAAACCGGAATGTCCAACTGATAAGGCTGAAAATTTTTTCACTTGTTATTTAAGTAAAATAAATATATTCACCAACTTTTATTAAAATAAAACCATTTAAACTGGGTGTTCAGATTTATATGTCACTTAGTATAATCAGAATAACTGTTGGTACATCCTAGAAGACAATCTGAAGGCATGCTACCGGAAATATAAGCACAAACTCCGAATCTTCTTCAGACCATTCAATTCAAGGAAACAACAGTATATCCTCCATAACAAGGACTTCGATGCCATTTCCTTCCTGCAACATTTTCATGGACGAAAACTGACGATCCGGATGGACAGACGCAATTTAGTTCACACCATTTCATCCGAAAAAAGGAACTATTCATATCATGTGGCGAAAACGTGACGAGTGTACAGAGTAAAAAGGTTCAGGGATGTGATGAGCTAAAAACCGTAAAACTTTTATATTGCTATATTATGGGTGAATTTTGCGGAGGAACAAGACTTTGTGGAGGCTATTAATGGAATTTCAAGTTCTTTTGATAGTATTAGTCAAAGTCCAAGAGCAAATTCTTAAAATTAGAAAGTTTTGGATATCGAAAATAGGTCAAGAGGAAGACCATTACATGAAAAAGGCCAAAGAAAAAATGTTAGTAGTCTTTCTACAATAGATACACGACTGACGACGCTGGTTGGTCATATTATCAATTTGAAGTTAGTAAAAAAATGAATTTCAAGCGTACCAAACTAATTCGTGTAATTTTCTGCTTTTTCGCTATAATTGAATTTTTTGTTAATATCTTAATTTTTATATAGAACCTGTTCCAAATTAACTAGGCATACTTGATTGTTGGACTTTCTGTTGCTGTCATAGAAACTCTCCTATATTTGAAAATTATTTTCTACTTGCTATTAAAGCGTGTTTTTTAGTTTTTTGAGCTATAGTTTATTGAACTGATGACAGCGTTGCGGGAGAGGTGCAGAGTCATCCTACTTGACTTCACCTTTTCAAATATATATTTCATGTTTCCATAATAATTTAATAAATCAATGCCACTTTTTAACTTCCTCCACCGCTGCTCTTTGTTGATTTCAAACTCGACCCTCACCATTAGGATCTCGGAAACGGTAAGAGTAAGTTGCTTAAATGGGCGGCTAAGTTGCGACTTTAGGTAAATAACAAAACGCCGCTTTGAAACATTGGAAATCCGCAGTTTTTCCGGAGAGAGAAAGAAAAACTGAATGTTCCCAAAATTGTTTAGATTTTTTCCTGACTTTAACCGTAGTGGGATTTTGAAATAAATTGCACATAACCATTGCCACTTTACCTTTTCTACAAAATGGTATAATTAGAGTTTCAAAATGACGTTTCGTCGCTTGTCAACAACACAACTTTATTTTTTGTTGTAAACGCGATATTAAATTTTTGCGCAGATAAATATAAGGTTTTTCATTCTGATTCCAATATTCCATTAATTGACATTGCCAAGCCATCCTATTATACCATTAATTTTTTTATCTATTTAAAAAAAAAATTTTTACGTAGGCCCTGAAACTATTAGTCATTTCGTATACCACATTTATCGCGAAATCAAGATAAACTGAACGCTGAACAATGCACCGAGAAGAATCACAAAATAACGGATAACATTATGAATATTTCCTATTTATGATTATTATCGTTCTATATCAACAAAATTTTCATTTTGTGTTCTTCTTGTACCTTCTTTTTTCCTTATAATTTTCTTTCCAACAACAAATTCCTGGTCGACTAAGGAAACACATCACTGAATCTAGGACTGGAAACTCCGTTCAAATGCAAAAATTCCCATATAGCATCCATATGCAAAAACGAAGTTGGATATTGAAGTCAAAAGAAGAATTAAAAATTTCACTACGCTATCTTGAATACGGTCTCAATAATAATGATAAACAAGCAGTGTTAAATCATAGCAGATATTCACAATGTGGCTGTTATTTTGTAGGCAAAGCCTGGTTCTTCTCAGTACATTGTTCAGCGCTCAGTTTACTATGATTTTGCGACAAATTTTTCGAAACCAATGACTATTTGATAATTTCAAAGTCTACATAGAAACTTCTGTTTTATTTAAATAACTAAGGTTTGGCAATCTCAAGTGTATGAAACATTCTACATTTGGATTCAGAATTGAAAACTCTATTTATCTGTGCAAAAAGTACTTTGACCTTCGAAACATTCTAAGAAGCATTTTGTTAGTTACCTAGGCCCCACTTAAGCGACTTGGTATCTCTCACCGTTTCTGAGATCCTAGTGGTAAGGGTCGAATTTGAAACGCCCTATATATTCGCTTACATATAAAATGTCCTTCTTCACTCAAAGTCCGAATACCACAGTTTGACTACGTCAGAAGAAACTGCACACCCTCTAATAGTCTCCATAATATGAAGGGTACAGGGGACATAGATGTTCCGAGAAAAGCGAATTTAAAAGTTTGAAGACTCCTAGACTCGTACACGGTGGGTCAAAGATCTGAAAGAGTACCTTAGATTCCTTATCATGGGGAAATGAAAATAGTTAAGGTATAAATATTTTTTTTATATATACAGGGTAGCCCAAAAGTGAAAGCAGAGCAAACATTTTTTCAATGGAAAATCGTTTTTATTTCTATATTTTGAGGTTCTCATTATGATTTTAATCATTTTTTATGTGTTAGCGTCCATGCCTGAATCCATCTTTCTCTAAGATATTGAGGCTAGAAATGAGCCTTTCGTCTTATGCGACACCCTGTAAAATCTATGGGTTGATTAACCAGCAAAATGCCTATCTTAGGTTTTACGATCTGTTCTAATATGAGAACAACCTTCCCAGGAAATTTATTACACAGGGCCTAGATCATGAAAAAAAGGTGATTTCCTAACCTCAATAACTCAAACACAGAATTATTTTACCTTTTTTTTACAATTGATACAAGAAAAAACAATGAACCACAAAAGGCTTTAGTTAAAAGAATATAGAACAAACCAAACAAAATTAATGGTAACTACTTAGAAATGATAACTTAACATTTATTTTTGTAGTAGCTACTAGTTTCGGTGACGATCAGTGGACGTTCATCTTTGTTTTTCATACGGCGGTTGTGACATGCATCGTTTTCCCTGCACGACAAGTTTTCAGTTGGGTATAACTAACTACACTGTTTTTTCGTCTTTCCGATACCGCATGGATTGTACTGCGTTATGTTCATGTTGCAGGTTCTAACTACAAAACATCAAATTTGTGACATTCATCTTTTTTCCAATGTATATGTACAGGGTGTTTCAGTATATTGTTGCATAACTTCAAGATTCGATAGAACTTTTAAAATTAATGCATAAAGTCTATATAAACATGGGACGAAAAATGCGTGGCTTCCGAAATACAGGGTGTTTAAATTTACTTTCTAAAATAGTTTTTTTTAATATTTCGAACAATATTTGATGTATAACAGCGAAAATCGGTATACAAGGGTTTTTTGGTACTAGAAAACGAGCCATGGGCATAGTTTTACTGTAGCCGCTAGAGGGCACTCTCTACTGTACCTGTAGTGTATTAAAATGACCGAAAATTTTTTCTTAGTGCAATTTTTTGCTTTTTGAATAAAAAAACTGATTCTTCGCACCTTTCAACATGAGTTTTCGTTATAGTTAGCCGTTTTTTAGATATTTCGATTTTTAAGGTTCGATGCATTTTTAATTATTTATGGGAAAAGAATATTTTTTTACATTTTCGATCTGGGATTACAAGTAATTAACCCAGATATCCCTGAAACTCTTAATGTTTGTTTTTTGTTATATATTTTTGTAAACCTATTAATTGGGTTAATATAAACATATTTTCCTAGTAAAATTTTTTAGTTCCGCTTTTAGGTTTTTCTGTAAAAGCCGTCGGTTTAAACGTACGGTAGCAATATAAGGTACTAAAACTCAATATTCTTATGAACTTATAAAACTTTAATTAGAAACGAAAAAAAAAATTTTAACCAATAATAATAGATTAGTTTTTAGTATGGTAACTTAAAAAACACATTATTGGATGAAGTGCAACATCACACTTCTGGAATCTGAATACTGCTTGTTTGTGGCAAAATGCGCAGCGGGTTTGCTTTTCCTGATAATTCACAAGATGATCCATCCGATCATATCTGGACTCATAATGCAGGTATTTGCCTGGTTTAGATGGCCCCCGTTTTGTTTCTCTCTTATAGGTTTCTAATAATCCCGCAGCAATACACCTCCTAAACCGCAAATGGTCCATTTTTCCGCCAGAATGTTTATGAAGTTGCCATGCGTTTTGTTCTGCCATATCCAGAGCATGTGAAAACAAGCAAAAATACCACTTCTTTCCCCTGATTCCTACGCGGTAAAGGCTTATATTTTGGTCAGCCCTATCAACACCGCCCATGTTTTCGTTGTATTGTTTGATCAAACATGGCTGCTCAACATGTATCATTTTCTTTTCTTTCTGAGAGAAGCGTTTGACTTGCTGTGTCGGAAAAGGAGATGTTAAATTTGAGGCGATTGTAACAACACTATTGTCATTCCATTTACATACAATATTATTTTGGTTCTCCTCCAAAAGATAATCAAAACTACCACGGGATTTTTTCTTGAACAAACTGGATTTTTCAAGAGGGCAATCTGATAGTCTGTTTTCTCGCAGAGGTCCTGAGCATTTGAGCCCCCTGGAGGTCAGCTCAGCCAACAGAGGTAATGACGTAAAAAAATTGTCACAAAAGATATGGAAAGGAGCGTTTTCACATTGAGACTGAATAATATCAGCAAACTGAAGTACAACACTAGCCCCTAAGCCAAGAGGACGATATTTTTCAGAAATAATAGTTGTGGACCCTTGAACGGCTCAAACCATTCAATGTACCCCTTTTTAGTTGTTCCCACCCATACCTTATAACGCCAACGAATGGGCTTTCCTCGGATAAACTGTTTTGATCCATGACCGCCGTAATAGGGTACCATCGACTCGTCCACGCTATGGCACTCTTCAAGCGGTGCAAATGACTGAAATTTCTCATTCAGAGTAGAAAACAAGGGCCTCAGTTCACAACCAAGTCAATGATTTCGTCATCTGTAAACTGAAAAAATAGTTCTAAAGGAGATAAAGAATTTTTGGACCACTTGCGTTTACCCATTCTGGAAAATCTTGGTTGATGTCACCTTTTTTCCAAGAGTAACTTGGTTTTGATAATTTTGGTCGTTTTTTCGTAAGAAAGGTAGACAAAGGTCGTCGCTATCAAAATCACTCTCAACTGTAGTTTGGTTTGATCCCTCGTTTTCAAATACAATCTCAACTTCAGTCATCAGCTGACTTCCAGGGAGGTTGTTTATATCCACTTCATTTTCGTCGCCGGAATCCTCATCAGTGTTATATTCATTTGCGTTAACTGGCGGTAGAACGGCAATAGTATCAGGAATCAACTCATCGTCATCAATGTTTTCAATTTCTGCCATGAGTTCATGAAGTTTCATGGGCCGCTTCCAATAGTTCCAATAACTGCAAATATAAGAAAAAAAATCGAATAATACCAGATTTTCCTACTGTCCGTTAAAACGGACATCGGTATTTGAGGTTATATTTTTGCCGGTGAGATGCAAATTTTTAACTTATTTGTTTACAATAATAAAGATTGATGTTTTCTAAAATTACTTATTCACAAGAAGGAAAAATAATATGAATAGTTTATCAGTATACTCACCTATAATTATCCATTGTTCACAACAAACTAAGCACCTGTTATTCCAAACACTTTCTCGCATACAGAACTCTCCCTTTAAAAGGTTAGAACAATAAATTTCGCTTAAACACGTGGTTCTAACAGCGAATAACCCAACGCTATCTAACGCGGAGTGACAGAGTTTCAAATTTGAAGCGAAATATTAGGTGATTGTTATAACGGACGGTAGGGGTATCTGGGTTAAGATGATCGTTTAGATTGTGTTTTTAAACACAGCAATAATTCCTAACTCCAAATAAACACAAAAAACAGAATATTAATTTGTTTAATTTTCCAATATTATTTTTAACAAATTAAATTAATTATTTACAACTAAAATGCTATTGGATAGTTAGGGCAAACATACAAAATTTAAAGTAGTTGCTCGAAATGTAAACCCAATTGTCCAATACACAATTCACATCTACGAATGATCGAACGTGGTATAGCATTATTCAAATAAGGCCTTATTTCATCACATGCATTCCTGATTCTATCTATTAGCATATCTCTTGTGGTTACGGGAGTCGGGTACACTTTTGCTTTTAGAAATCCCCACACATAGAAATCTAATGGATTTAGGTCAGGGGATCGTGAAGGCCAGACGACTGGTCCTCCACAGCCGATCCATCTTTCTGGATAATTTTTGTCCAGCCAGTTTCTAACTATTCTCGAATAATGAGCTGGACAACCATCAAGCTGGAACCAGGTCAATATTCTTAAATCTAACATAACATCATCCCACATATTTGCATGTTCAGCATTTAAAAATTCCAAGAAGGTCGCAGCATTTAACCTTGTAGGCAAAAGGTAGGGTCCAAATAGTCTACTACGGTAGATACCAATCCACACGTTCACACTAAATTCATGCTGAAAATTTCTTTCCCGAACTGCATGCGGATTTTCATGCGACCAAATATGTTGATTATGAAAATTTACCACTCCACGTCTAGTGAAGCATGACTCATCGGTCCATAAAACGTTACTTAAAAACTCCCTATTATTATCAGTTCTATCAAGAATCCACTGTAAAATGTGATTCTTCGTTCTCCGTCCCCTGACTGTAGTCCTTGCACAGGTTGCAAATGGTAAGGATGTCTATGGTCATTTCTAAGAACACGGTGAACATGGCTTGCTGAAATTCCCAAGGCACCAGAAACTCTCCTAACACTTGTGGTCGGATCTCTATCAAACTCACGCAGAATGATAGGGTGAATCTGCGCTGACGAACGTTTATGTTTTGATCCCTTTGGAGATTTCCAAAACTATTTTCAATTATTTGGCGATGCACTCTTACAAATACTGAGCGAGTTGGATGTCGTCTGTTTGGAAATCTTCGTGCGTATTCTCTGGCTGCTTCTGCTGCGTTTCCATTTACAAAGCCATATACAAAATGAATATCCGCTAACTCTTGATTGGAGAATAAAAATGGCATTTTTATAAAACTTTAAAAAAAAAACAGGTAAAAGAAACTAAATTTCGTGCATTCACAATTGCAACAATTCAACTAATTGACGTTTAACCTTATTCTGCTTTCAAGTTCAAAAATATTTGAAGGCACAGCCTACTTCTAAAAATTATCGAGATACTGACTTTTTAACGTTATTTTATCATAAATAATTAAAACTGCATCGAACCTCAAAAATCGAAATATCTCAAAAACGGCTAACTATAACGAAAATTCACAAGAGAGCTTTTTTATGTTGAATAGAGCGAGGAATCAGTTTTTTTATTCAAAAAGCAAAAAATTCCACTAAGAAAAATTTTTCGATCGTTTTAATACACTACAGGTACAGTAGAGAGCGCCCTCTAGCGGCTACAGTAAAACTGTGCCCATGGTTCGTTTTGTCGTACCAAAAGACCCTTGTATACCAATTTTCACTGTTATACATCAAATATTGTTCTAAATATTTAAAAAAAAACTATTTTAGAAGGTAAATTTAATTTCGGAAGCCACGCATTTTTCGACCCATGTTTATATAGACTTTATGCATTAATTTTAAAAGTTCTATCGAATCTTAAAGTTATGCAACAATAAACTGAAACACCCTGTATATTGATCAACTTTATAGAAAATATTGTAACTGTGAAAATTTAGAAATAGTATGTTTCTGGATGTTATATGATATGATATCACGAAAAATCCGCTATGACTTTGAAAGTACAGCTCGGATATTGGCGCGTCAAAAAGCTGTACTAGCTGTAATTTTTTTTTTAAAATCGAGCCAATGGCTGCGTAGCTACAGACGGAAAGCGAAAAAATGAAACATCCCCGAAACTAGAAATTGGAGGTTAGGGTTTGTAGGGGGCGGAAGAAGGTATATCTTAATTTTTGGCAACATTATATTTGAAGGGTCTTGGGGCAGTAAGGTAGTTAAATCACATTTGAATAAAAAACCAGATTTCCGTCTAAAAACAAGCGTGGCGTAGGTACCTGAAGTCAATATTTTGATAATTTTCCCATTAGTGTCGTTATAATTTGTAAATGACATTTTTGCGCAACCACGATATCCCACAGATTTTTACGCTAAGAAAGTTTTATGCCTGTGTGTGTAGCATGCACACATTCTGGCATCGCCATAGAGATACGCCGAGTGGTACCTCCTCGTTCGACAGAGAAACCATCTACCACCTACCTGGGTTACCATAATTTCTTCGAAATAGAAAACGCATTTAATACAGTTCTAATGAAAGGCATGCATTTGACTCTATATCTGACACAAAAAAAGAACTTAGATAAGAAGCCCGTCAAACTTAATGAAGTGTGCCTAAGAATAAACACCAATATTATGTATTAATAAAGTTATTTTGAAATTACCCTTGAAGGACAACTTTTTAATTTAATAAGGCACCAAGCAACAACATTTTCAAAAATGTATTTATTTTACGAAAATGCACTATAACTTTTTCGGTTATGTTGTAACCATAACTTTGTTGCTCAAAATTTAATCCTATTGTAGCATTTAAGCAAGAAACGTGATTTCAGGATTTGCATAAAGGTTGTAACTTTAAATTGCACGAAGTAAAGACAATGTGGCTTTGGTACCTTATTGCGCCAAGCCCTTTATATATACTATAACTAGGCTAGTGTGGAAATAGTTCATTCCGCGCTTACTATACAAGTGAGTATGAAGTGAACGACATCTAGTTCCAAGTCTTGTAGGAAAATCTATATAGTGTCATAAAAAACCCGCATAATGTCAAAAAAACGACATAATCTTATTTTTCAAGTTACGTAAAACTGACATTGGTCGGACCTTAGTGGATCTTGTGCTGTCATCCACAACATTTTGCTGTGTAAGTACCCCACCTTCCCTAACAAGAACGCTACGCCCTGGTAGGAAAATCATCGTGTACAAAAAGAAAATATTGGGGTACATTATCGGAATAATAATATACCTCGTCGGGTAACAAGTGGTATGTCAGCTGCAGTATTCTGCGGAGTAATGTAGCGAAAAAGAATCTCTCCATGCTACCTGGCAACCGCAATATCGGAGCTGAGCTTTGAGCTTTGATGCCAACAGCATCGCTGATGTTGATGCAGGGACTTATTAAACTCCGGTGCGGTGCTTCGGAGCAACTTGTTTCTCATATTTGCCTTGGATTTTTCATGGATGTCATGACATCAGAATAGGCTCGCTTATTGCAATTGGCAAAGTCGTGAATACGAGGGCTGATCCATATCTTCCGCACCTGTCTTCCTGTGCAGAAGCTTATGTGA